AGTCAAAGATAATAAAAAAAAGTTTCTTCATATAAATAACAAGAAAAAAATCAAGGAAACAGTCGGTCCACTAAAGAGAGAAGATGGCAAGGAAGTAACAGGCAACAGAGAGAAAGCAGAACTGCTTAACTCATTCTTTGCATCCATCTTCATGCAAAAAGAAACTATAGCTCATCCCACCAAAACCAGAACTGTAAAAGACAGACCAGAAATAAAAGTTAAAATAAGCAAAAAAATAGTAAGAGAACACCTGTCTGATCTTGATGAAAACAAATTGCCGGGGCCTGATGGATTACATCCCAGAGTTTTAAAGGAGCTGGCAGAGGTCATCTCAGAACCACTGCACCATATCTTTCAAAAATCCTGGAGCACAGAGGACTGGAAAAGAGCTGACGTGGTTCCCATCTTCAAAAAAGGAAAAAAACAGACCCAGGAAACTATAGACCATCAATACCCGGGAAGATACTGGAAAAGATAATAAAAAAAAACAGATCTGCCAACATCTAGAAACAAGTAAAGTAATAACTAGCAGTCAGCACGGGTTTGTTAAAAACAGATCATACCAAACCAATCTTATTTCATTCTTCAACACAGTGACTAAATTAGTAGACCAGCAAAATACTGTGGACATAATATATTTAGATTTCAGCAAGGCATTTGACAAAGTAGACCACAACCTACTTCTTAGTAAGCTAGAAAAAAGTGGAATAGATAGCACCACCACTAGATGGACTTGCAACTGGCTGGCAAACCGTACTCAACGAGTAGTCCTTAATGGGTCTAAGTCTACATGGAGGGAAGTAAGCAGTGGGGTGCCACAAGGATCCGTCTTAGGCCTAGTACTCTTCAATATCTTCATTAACTACTTAGATGAGGGAATAGAAGGGGAACTTACCAAATTTGCAGATGATACTAAGCTGGCAGGAATAACTAACACCCAAGAAGATAGGCTCAAGATCCAGATGGATCTTGACAGACTAGAACATTGGGCCATATCTAACAAAATGAAATTCAATGTAGAGAAAAGTCCTACACTTAGGCAAGAAGAACCAAAAGTATACATATAGACTGGGTGAAACCAGGCTCAATAGCAGTAGCTGTGAGAGGGATCTTGGAGTCTTAGTGGACAACCAGATAAATATGAGCCAGCAGTGTGCAGCAGCAGCAGCCAAAAAAGCTAATGCAATCCTAAATTGTATTAACAGAGGGATACAATCAAGATCAAGGGAAGTACTGATACCACTCTATAAATCCTTAGTAAGACCACACCTAGAGTACTGCATCCAGTTTTGTTCACCACATTATAAAAAAGATGTTGAGACTCTAGAAAAAGTACAGAGAAGAGCAATCAGGATGATTAGGGGACTGGAGGCTAAAACATACAACGAACGGTTGCAGGAACTGGGCTTGGCTAGTCTAGTAAAGAGAAGGACCAGGGGAGACATGATAGCGGTCTTCCAATATTTGAGGGACTGCCACAGAGAGGAAGGGATCAATCTATTTTCTAAAGCACCCAAAAGCCAGACAAGGAATAATGGATGGAAACTGAACCAGGAGAGATTTAACCTGGAAATAAGGAGAAACTTTCTGACAGTGAGAACAATCAACCAATGGAACAGCTTGCCCTCGGAAGTTGTGGGAGCGCCATCACTTGAGACTTTCAAGAAGGAAGTAAAAGCAAAAATAAAATAAAGATATCTAAAGAAGTGGCTTTTAATCTTCTTTGAAGTAGTTACAAACACAGCAATTACCATCTTCACTGTTTCATATTGCATAACTAAATCCTGAAATCAGCAGTTAATTTATACCCATTTTCAGCAAAAAGTCTATAAAGGTTTCCAGTCTTTTATAAAATTGTAGTTTACTTCTTAATCAAACAAGTTAATTTACCCATTTCTGCAAAATCAGTCATCTTCACAAGTCATTTCTCCATTATTGGTGCTTCTGTCATTTGCCTTTGTGCATATAATGACCTCATTGCAGTTACCATATATAAAACCAACTATAAGTCTTTTCTACTTGAATGTGTATGTTCTAATAAGAAATGACTGACTGATAATTTTTGAAACACTCTGCATCACAATATGTATTTGTATCCAGTATCACCTTGCTTTTTCATAACTCCACTGAGTTATGAATGATAATATATCTCTTCCTGTTTTTCACATTTTCAATAGTGATTAGACATTACACATTTTAGACCATTTTTCTGATGTTATTTTTTTAAAAAAAAAATCTTTTAAATTGTAACACACGAGAGTGATTAGTTTAATGATCTTTTTTTTAATTCTCAGTAGAATTCAAAAGCATCAATCTTTTTTCAAGTGTGCTTCTTCAAAATCCAAGTTTTGTTTTAATAGTTTCAACACTGCCTGTACAATTCCAAGACATTCAGTGCTACTTTACTAAGTGCTAAATTACAGCACATCTCTTGACTTCTGGATTTCTTTATTGCTAATAAAGTCCCTTATAATCAGTCCCTCATTGACCGTTCAAAGTTACAACGGGGTCAGAAAAAACTACTTACAACCCAGATTTGAAATGCCAACATCTACCCCTCCCGTAGTCACATGACTGCATTTTGGGCACTCAGCAACCAGCCCACATTTACAAACATTTGCAATGGCCATGATTTACAATGGTTTTGCCAGAGACCAACATTTACATTTACTTTTGGATTGTGGCAAAAACTACCCTATAGCAAACAATGAGTTTGCTTAACAACCCTGGCATTTGTTTAACAACTTTGGCATTCACTTTACAACCTCTGTGATCACTTAATGATTGCCATAAAAATAGTCGTAAAAATGGGATGATTAAAGGACCAAATTAACAGAAACCTTTTCACTCAGACCAATGTTTCTACAATATGAAATTTAGTAAAGACAAACACATGAAAATATACTTGCACAATATACTTTAAGCAATCCATTGTTTGAATAAAATTACTCGTTCCTACCTGTTCCTTACCTTCTTCCCTCTATTTTGCCATTTAGATTAGCAATGATCCTATATATAAAATAAATCATCTGGCAATGCCATAGAATGCAAATTTACCGCAAAATTTAGCTTACATCACTAACTTGATCAGGAAGAATAAATACTGTATCTATTAAATACAAATTTGCAGTACGCTCATAAATCTGCTATTTCTAAATTACAGCGAAATACTGGAAGGGCTGACAAATTCACATGGTGGAATTGCTAACACTTTAATATTAGATATAGCATTAAGGGTGATAGGTGGTTAAGAAATATGAAGTATAAATAGATAAAAAATAAATAGGCTTCCATGGTTGTATAATGATGCAGGGGATACCTTTTTCCTATTATGTTTTGTTACAGCCAGAGTTCTAGCATCAAATATAAAGGCCAACCATAAGTTCTACCTCATATTAAGTCCAACAAGCATGCAACTCTTTTCATCTTTATCCCGAACCTTGGGATACAACATTTCCATGTTGATGTCATAAATCAAATATCGGAATACTCCTACCAGATATCGATTACAGCTTAACTTATAAAAGATACATTAAACATTTGGGTTTCTCTTGACATTTGATTGTGTAATGCCAGAGTATGAAAGTAATATTACAGTTAGTGAGGCCAAGAAACATCAGGGAAATAAGCCCTTCAAAATGTTCCCTTTATACAATGTTTTCATTCTTCAGTGAGAGCTAAGCCCTAATATAAGACAAGAGTTCCTACAATCTGATTAAATTTTTAGAACTACAAACACAGAAGCCATTTCAGCAACACGCTTTGATGGAAAAAAACTGCACCAGAAGGGGGAAATTGCACCAAAACCTTCCCCTAGGCTGCTACGCAATTCGAATTTCAGAGTTTATTACAGCTTACCATTAAATTCCTATGCCTTTTTTTTAAAAAAAAAATTAATGGCAATAATGAATTTTTACAAGACATTCAAAGGTCAACAGTGGGCATATGTAGACTGCTACCTAATTTTATTGGTACAAAAATTCCTAAGTTAGTTCCTCTCCAGCTTCCCAGGAGAGGCCTGTTAAAATAGAGGAGAGGGCTGCTGAACGCCCGGATACAGGCAGTTACATAGATGACCCTACACCAAAGGTGCCAGGTTTGACTTTCCTCGCCAGCATTGGTCAATTCTGAACACGATCTGTCATACCCAACATGGAGTCTGCCAGGACTCATTGTTTAAGTGGGGTCTTGCCTCTACCCCTCAGTGTGATTGTGGTGCTTGACAAAATATCCATCACAATGTGTCTGAATGTCCATCAAGAGTTTACACCGGCCCAATGTCTGATTTTTTTTCAACATAGACCACCCTGTCCTTGAATGGCTGGGTGGACATTAACATTTGAACCACAAGTCCATGTATTTGCCAAACGCCAAATAAAAATAAGTAAAATGAGTTTTGGACACATACTAGACATTCAAAGGTTAACAGTGGGCATATGTAGACTGCTACTTAATTCTGTTGGTACATAAGTTTCCTAGGTTAGTTCCTCTCCAGCCTCCCAGGAAAGGCCTGTTAAAATAGAGGGGAGCTTCAGCGTTACCCTACCGGGTAGCAAAGCTTTAAAATTAGTGTTGTTGACAGGCAGAAACAGCATCAGCCCTTTGCTCTGGCCGTCACCCTCCAAGGATCCCTAGCCTGTTGCCCTCCAGATGTAATGGACTACAACTCCCAGCGTTCCCTGCCAAGCATGGCCGAGATGAGCATCAGGTTGCCTGAACATTAGGTCCAACGGGGAGCCGGCTGCGCATCTGTTGCTTTGCACGTGCACAGAGTGCTCGCCTGTTCAGCTTCGTCGCGCGTGTAAACACCCGGGCACGGCTAATCATAAGGCCAGCTCATCACCTACTCTCCACGAGCGCGCTTAAAAGCATCTGCCTCATCCCGCCCCCGCTGCACCTGCAGCGCTGCCTGTCGGCGTTAAGGTTGACGAACCGGCTTCCTAATCTTTACTTTCCCCCCACCCCACCCTCCCCCGTCCCTTCCACCCAGCGGGCCGCACCGTTAGCTATGAGCTTGGCGGAAAGCTGCTTGACGAGTTCGGGGATCCTTTCCCACTGACACTCGGACCGGCACCTCTCGATCTCCGTCTCCAGCCGCGAGCCCCCTTTCTTGGTGGCCATGGCGGGAGCAGGCCCAGCGGGCAACCCCGCAAAGCGGGGACCGGCCGAAGGGAGGGAGGCGCGGCAGCTGCGGCACCGTGGCAGCGGGCGCCTTTTCGGCGGCGGAACGAGCCGGGCTACGGCCCCGGAACGGGAACCGGAGGGGCGCCGAACGCGGTTCGCTGCAGCGCCACCTACCAGCAGCCAGAAAGATGAGGCGGAGGGAGGAGTGGGCGGAGCAAAAATAAAAACACGGCTCCCGGTATTGTTTGGCGGGAAAGGAGAAAGGCTGGTTCCGCAGTTATTCAGCTCCTTTTGCAGTTGCGCTCCCGGCATATTATAGGGAAAGGTGGATAAGCGGATTCCACATAGAGACTATTCACACGACTGTACTGCCAAACTTCAAGGATTCTTCCGAGAGTGGAAAAACAACTGATTTTTATTCTTGCAGGGAGATGATGTCGAGTGTATGCAAAGAAATTTAGGATTCCCAGTGAAATCCTCAACTTCCAATCACAATTGAGTGAGAAAATTGTTTAATAAATTTTGTCCCATTTTACAACTTTTCTTGGCACATTTGTTAAGTGAACCACTGAAGTTGTTTAAATTGGTAAGTTACCTGAATCTGGTGTCTCCATTGACTTTGCTTATCAGAAGGTTGTAAAAGTGGATCACCTGACCCCAGGGCTGTCATAAATGTGACTCAGTTGTCGAACATCCAAATGTAAATCATGTAATCATGGGGGAATGCTGTAACGGTCATAAATTACTTTTTTCATGGCATTGTAACTTCGAACCATCACTAAGCAAACTGTTGTAAGCAAGGACTGTGTTACACACTTTATTATATAATGAATAAACACAGATTATACATTTAAAAATGGTTTTAATTGCACTGTAATAGGTTTTTTTTAAAAAATACTTATCCAGTCCTTGCAATACAGTGTAAATATACAGTATATTATTCTTGTGTATGTTATGTCTCTTGCGTAGTCTTCAAATTATTAAAATAACTGTTTAGTATACAAATATTAGAGGAATTATTGGATGCAAAAAGTACATACAGTATTTTGACACTAAAGCATAGCAGCTCAGGGCCAACTCTAGCACTGGCAATGCATGGTAATCTTCCCAAGGACAGACTCTATTCTAGTTAGTGCTTGGCTAATAAGAGCTGTATCATACAATTGAGAATATAGAAGGAAGTATCTGTAGCTCAGGGTTGAACTGCAGATTCCTTGGTGCTCTCTGAGCTTGGTCGTTTACAGATGCTTCATTACCCAATGAAGTGCAAGGAAATGTAGTTTGTTTTGTTTACATACAGTAACTTGCTCTGCCAACGTTCATGAGGGTATGTTTTTCTCTTTGGTAGCTAATATTTAATATTTAATCAAGGATCAGCGTAGTTCCTTGATCAATAAACTACCAAAGAATGATGAGAACAGAGGTTTGTTTTTAAAAAAAACAGCCCCCATGGGTTTGCAAGTTTTCCAATAGCCTAGACCTCTGGGTTGGAAAGGAGATGATTATTCATTGCATCTTTGTCATGATCACAGGCCTTGCTCTGGTGATGTCTCTGGGCAGCAGTCTTTTCTCCTTCCTGTTTATTTTTCTTTGCAGCTTCCCTTCCCTGCCAAAGAGAAGATGTAATGAATGTATCCCTTTCTAGGTGGCATATCAGTATTTGCTTTGTGCCTTATAGGACTAAGCCACTGCTAGTTTTCCATCCCAATAATAAATAATAAGATATACCCAAATTCTGACCCGAAATGTTGGAAGTGTCAATGAGTTGATGGTACCTTTTATCACATGTGGTGGCTCTGCCCTAAGGCCAGGACTTATTGGACCAAAATCAAAGATTGGATACAAAAAATCACGGGACACCAAATGGAATTCAAACTGGAACTCTACCTTTAGGGATAATCAAAAAACAGTATCTGAAAAAGATAAATTTTATAATATTACACATACTGACAGCGGCCAGAACAGCTTATGCACAAATGTGGAAAGAGCATAAGGTTCCAACAGAAGAACTAATTTTACAAAAAAATAGCAGACTGTGCAGAAATGGATATGCTCACACTAAAAATAAGGGAAAAAGAAGAATCTGAATATTACTCAGTTTGGCATAGATGGTACATGTGGCTAGAAAAGAGAAATAAGAATTGATAAAGATGATTGTATAAGAAGAATTCTCAAGAAAGTGATACACAGGCAGATTGATAAAATAGATAAGGATAGATAATAAATAATATAAATAAAGACTACTAAGGTTATGCACAAATAGATGATGGAAATGTGAGTTAATACTGAATGTTGATGCAAAAGCTGTTGAAAATATAGTTATGATTTGTACTGGTAGAAAACAAAAACTATTTGGAAAAAATAAATAATAAGTATTACTACTTAAAACAACAAGCACTAATATTCAGGTGGTGTGCATTGGAAGACCAATACCCATCAATAATTCAGTAAATTAAATTTGAAGCATTTTATACATAGTCAAGTTTATTGTTTTGAAGGTAAAACAAATATATCTGAACATACATACAAAGTCTATCGCTTTTAGCATAAAATCCACACACAAAAAACATTTCAGCAAATTTACTGAAAGTAAAAGTATTTTTTGACAATTACAAATTCCAATTTGATTTCTTTCTAAAGTTGATGCAACTCATTAAAGACTTGCCAAATGATAAACATTAAAACACATGTAAAATGCATGCATATTTGTTTTATATAGCTATGTCTAATATTGACAATTCCAGTAAATATAAAATAACTTAATTTGTTAATTGAGGAACTGATGAGAAGCAATGTTAATTGTAACATTAAAGCATCATGTAAAGTTTGTGTACATGAGTAGACACATATCACATAAAGTAAGCCACATCTAAAATGAAGAGAAACTTCCCGGATTTTTCTTTCATGAAAATAATTTTCTAAGAGCCCCTGTTCCAGTCTGCATAAGTTAAGACTAAGTTCTAGCCCAGCTAGAATGAAATAATCCCAATAGTTTAAATGATTATTAACTTTTTTGTATATAAACCATATAAATATAACACTTCAGGAAGAAATGTTAATAAATGTATTTATAGTATATATATTAGATTTGGATTTAAACTATAAATTCAACAACCCAATAAATGAACAAAATTAAAATTAATAAGATGTAATGGTTAAAAAAAGGTTTTGTATTTTTAAAAAATATTTTATCTTATTTTCTGAAATGCTATCTATTTGAAATCTCACAGAAAGTAATAAATTAAAAAGAAATATAAACAAACATTTCTGCATCAGGCTCATGACAATAGACTGATCATCTGAGTAGAAACTTCATTCAAATATTTCTCATTGTCAGCCTGTTATGGAAGAAACTGCTGTCCCTCAATGAAAAATGGAAAGAATCTACTGGTTCCTATTTTGGAACTCATATAATGCCTTAATGTTAGAGTCAGCACCTACAATATACAGATTTTTTTTAGTAAAACAATGGATAAACATCACTCTTTATAATTAAATATTTACTCATATTTGCCTCAAAACACTAGGAAATATTTGGGAATTTTAGTTATAAGTTAATACTTATAACAATTTAATTAATTTACTCCAAAAGTTTTATTCTGCTAGTAGAACACTCCCACTGACTGAATTGTTCTTTCTCTTATTTAACCTTTTAAAATTTTATTTCATATTTTAATAAATTGGAATACTTTTAATTCTTGTTCTTTTAACTATATAACCTCTCCATCAATCACCAAAGCAATCACAATATAAAACACTATTATCTTTAAATGATACACAATCCATGCAAGTGAACCACAGCACATGTTCGGGGAACTAAAACTGGAAACACCCTATACATACACACTAAATTGGCAATCTAATTTTCTGAAGAAAATAATAAATTCACAATATTTATATGAGAAAATTAAATTAACACTTAAATCTTTCAAGTTTAATGATAAATCCTTTCAAGGAACTAGTTATCCTAAAAACCCTCGAATCCTGGTAGCAGTAACCAGCCAACAGAGTCTTGCAAAGTCACCATGTACGTACAACAATTTTCCTAGGTAGTGATTATATGAGTTAAATTCATTTCTTCTAGTTGTGCCCATTCCAGTAATGGGTGGACACTATTACATAACATTTATGAAGGATGAGATAATCCATAGACTATCCAGAAGTATTGTTTACACATACTTAATCACTAGGGCTATACAAATCATTCTGATGGATGCTTTTACAGCAGTGGCAACAAAAGTGATTTCTATGTGTAATATATATGATTTCATATCAATCAAATATTATTTCATAAAGTCCTTAAAGGGCCCTGCAAGCCTTAAAAAGAATATAGGTATGCACTGTCACTGAAGATGTTTTAGGAATAGATTGTATAAATGTCGCAAGAATCTAATACAGATACTTGTAAGTCAGTGCCAATGTGACACCATAAAATAATTATTCTACTTTAATTGCTAACTTTAAAAGATTTTAATTATTGGATGCACATTCATCTATCATGCAAAGTCAAAGAAAATAGCACATAAATGTTGCAACAGAAGTATCTGTCTTTTCCAGCAATATTATTTTCCTGCTCTCAAAGTGCATAAAATGAACAATGACATTGTAATCATCTGAGGTCTACAGTGCTTCCTTTATTTGAAGTAATTTATTTAAACAAATACTTTTCAATGTGCAGTATATTTTTTTTTAAAAAAATACAGCCTTTATTCAAAATTATTCTATTAATTTTCAGATCAATTTCTTCCACTATGCTATATTAGTCTACAGAGTTTTATTATATATGAGGGTTTTTTTTTACAAAAGAAAATTAAAATAAATCTGAATTAAATAAATCTTAAAATAAATCTGAATGATTAATACAGCATTTCTGACCTTCCTTATCGAATTATGCACCAGCATTCTCTATTACTAATATTAAAAAGCACAACCTATTTGCTAGTCCACTCTCTTAAAAAAATTGAGATTCTAACAATCTTGCGGGTATATCATCTTGTTTGTATCAACTTCAATTAACTCCTATTGGCCTGGTGCAAAATTTTAAAGTCAAAGAATAACAGTTTTAAGGGTAATAAATTATTATTGGAGTTACCAACAGCATAACTATAATGTAGTAGTGAACTTTTAGGAAAACGGTGTAATAA